TCACATAAATGTAGAAGTGTTCCTCTTCCACTATCCAATTGCTTGTCATACATCGATTGTGTGATCAAGTTTTGGTAAGTTGCCATGTTTGCCTGAAAGCTGAATGACACAGGTGAAACTTCAACAAACTTACATATCCTTTCAGTGGACCAACAAGAATACAAAATTATGAGTATTGTTTAGAACATGACAAAATGCTGAAGTGCAAGAGGAATAAAGAATTCCGGTGACTAAAGCTTGATATAGAACAGCATCGTATAAATATTTTCAATACAAATGATTTCCCACCCTAAGATTACAATTTCATCATAAAAGATCAATCAAGCGTTCATAGTAGAGTTTGTAAATATAATGGTTTAGCCATAAGCAACTACTCTGGTCAAAAAATACTATTTGGTGGTTGTTGACTTGGCTTACGATCCAATCTATAATATAAGTATTGTGCTTAAGGTTCCATGGTCAAATTAATACAGTTCGTGTGAATCCCCAAGACCAAGACCAAGACCGAGACTGAGACCCAGACCAAGACCAAGATGAGTAGCAGCATAAAATAAATCTAACCAATATATTTAATATCAACTACTCAAGTCTTGAACCCATGAAATACAAATGTGTGAAGAAGAAAGAACAAACTTGTTAAGTTATTTATTTATTAGAATGGAGGATGGGGAAGTGTGGAGGAAATTTCGTAAATAACTTCCATCACCCAGACAAGTATATTGATATTACCCTGGAAAAAAAAAGAGGTGATATGGGCTCAACTGAATCCATGTGAATCCATATGAGAAGTACTTACGAGAAGTAAATCTTAGCGCAATAACCAATCAAACCAGAAAGAATTGCACAAACAACCCAGAAATCAGCTTTAGGCATTTCAAGCGATGTAACAAGGGTCACCTGAAAATAGTAAGATGCTAATAATAAGATGGCGAGTAGATAAAATCAACAAATAGAGTTTGATAAAGTTAAAAACAAATTAATTCAGCAAACATACAAGTCCAAGTACAACAGAGATTAGGAACTTGACCCAGTCCATCGGTGTCAGACTTGGATTTTTCTTCTCAGGCTAAAGAAAAAAATATATCGGATAGGTCAAAGCAAAGAGTTTAAGGACGAAGAGAAGTAAGGAATTTGCACCTTCTCTACTCACCAAAACTAACTCCATATCAGCCATAGGGATATTCTTAAAGTGCTTCACATGGATTCCTCTGTCTATTTTAGTCTTCGTACCTGCCCGTCTGTTTATTTGCCAAAGACAAAAAAAAATTACTCATCAATATGAGATTCATAAAAGATGCAATTCAGTTCTATTAAGGATTATCATCCATGGAAAACTTCAGAAATCAGAAGTCACAGATATTTTAATCCCAATAAGAAATTGGCAAATATTACAAAAAGATGAGCGGAGAAAACAGAAGGAAAGAAAGAAAATTCACCTGTAAACAACAATCATCCTGTCAAAAGTGGGCTCTTGTATTGTGATCTGACCAAGTAGATTCTTGAAGCTGTGACAGTCATGTCAATGTCTAACCAGCCAAGAGTATAAAGAATGAAAATAGAGGCATTGATCAAACCTTAGTTCCATGTTTTCAAGCCGAATACGTTCAATGAACATGTCTTGCTCTTCTGTTTCTGCACTTACTTCATCAGTTTTCTTTGGATCACTAGTGGGTTTTGTCCTCGGTTTTTTTACGAAAAGCCTTTGGAGCCTGTAGCCATATTGACTTCCAAATTTCATTATATTTCGTGAAAAAAGGAGTTTCCATAATAGTTGAATTAGAGTTTTACCTGGTGACTCTGAGGAAGCACCTCCATAGCCGAGATACGATAACATCCAGCTTTTCCATAATAAAGTAATCAGTAGTTCGATCAATTCCAATGCCGCGATGGAAGATCACATACTATTGCACATTAAATGACAAATAACTCCAGTAAGATAAAACGGATATAACAATATAAAATTATACCAAATGTCTTGGGTAGGGTTAAACAAAGTCCATTAAGACAGTAAGATAACTTGCACTGAACTCAAGGAAAACAAATCACACACCCCAAGAAAGGGAAATTAAGTTGCAAGGATCGAACTAGATTAATTGAATTTTCAAGCAGACTGGTATGTGAAAGTTGAGTACTAGGATAGTATCGGTAGACAACAGCTATAATAATTATATTTGAAACACTTGAAAAAAAGCTGAGACAAGAGTGAACTGATCTTCTATATGCTGACGTACTAGTAAACTATGATAAGAAAACACAACAAAAATGGAGTCTCTTGTCAGTTATAACAACGTGACCTCCGTCTCTACCAACAGCAAGTTTTTCAAATACTTTGTGCAGTTTAAGTAGATCAGCTTCTTTTATTACAAAACGTGCCTGCCATTGTTCTCCTGCCTAAATTTACTTACTGTACAGTCATTTTCATTTAATTATATAATATACACCCTCCTCCCTCCCTCCCTCCTGTTGGAAAATATTTGAAGAAAAGATTGAGTTTCTTTTATTAATTTTAATATAATTATTTTGCCCTCCTCATTACTACCTTTATTCACATCCATTGGTCATGATTATTGGTTATTATGGACAATTTCATCATTATGCATTAACTCCCTTTTAAACCTACTTATTATAAAGTTTTTATTAATTGTATTATTAATTCTAGACCTTTTCCACCTATATAAATGGTGGCTGAGAGTTCATAAGAGAACAATGAAAATAAAAAAGTTATATGGAAAAGGAAATAGAAAAGCTTTATATTTCTTCCTCTTGTATATTTTCTTGTACTTTATTTTATGTTTTTCGGGCAATGCATCGATTGAGCAAGAGGCTTGAGATTCGCAGTAACATCAAGTGTTGGCTAACCTCAAGAGAGCTCTTACTGCTAGTTCACGGTTGCATTGATACGTCTCTGCGAAGGCGGTAATTGTTGTTCTAGGGCAGTGCAACGTTTTAATTATCGGTTATCGAAAATATATCAGATGGCCAAAGTTCATATCGGATCGACGGATCCTAATTATCGGGATAAGTAGTAAAAATCGAAGTGTCATATCGGATGGTGAGCATATATAATATAACGTCCTAAACTATAATCTAAGTACATTTAATGAAACACAAACATATTAATATGTAAATAACACATGTCTAGGATCACTAACCAATTGTTTTTGTTTAGTGGATGCGGAATAGAATAAGACAGCAGTGTTTTTATTCAGTGGATGCGGGTCGGGTATGAAAAAAAGAGGGTTTTTGCCTCCAAACCCGAACTAGTTCATTTTGATTGTATATTGTAAAAAATTGGATGACTTTTAGACCACGAGAAATCGGCCGCTTTATCGGATTTACACCGATATATTGGAAAAAAACAGCTAAAAACGATATGCAATGAATTTTTAAAGAAATAGTATCCATGGCCCAAACCTGAGATATTGGTAATAAATCAATAAAATCGGCCGATTATTAAAGCACAGGGTAGTGACATCAAGACTACTCCTTTACAAGCCAACAATTCATTTCTCTACTTTACTAATTAAATGTGCATTTAATGTTTTTATTTCAATTAATAGAAAATATCCAACACCGCCAAACCCGAACTAGTTCACTTTGATTGTATATTGTAAAAAATCGGACGATTTTTAGACCACGAGAAATCGACCGCTTTATCGGATTTACACCGATATATTGGGAAAAACCAGCTGAAAACGATATGCAATGAATTTTTAAAGAAATCGTATCAACCATGGGCTAAACCTGAGATATTGGTAATAAATCGATAAAATCGGCCGATTATTAAAGCACCGGGGTAGTGACATCAAGACTGCCCCCTTTACAAGCCAACAATTCATTTCTCTACTTTACTAATTAAATGTTCATTTAATGTTTTTATTTCAATTAATAGAAAATATCCAACACCGCCAAACCCGAACTAGTTCACTTTGATCAATGTGTACTCTATATGACCACATTTATTCACAGAAAAACATCCACCTCATAGTCCAGTGATTTTCATCCATATCCACCCTTTCTAATCATTTACAATTCCCCAACCAACACCACTTCATATTATGTATAATTTACCTCTACGTACAAGAACAAACGTTTGAGACCTGTTTATCTTATGCCGAAAATGAAACAATGACCACATCTCAGAAGCTCACACTGTTCACAATGAAACAAATGAAATTTTAATATGTAAATATAAGAAAGAACAATGAATTTATTTTTCAAAATAAAAGCAGCCAAGAAAATTGCAATCTACACACACACAGTATTCTCATTCATACTGAACATGAACTAAATAGTAAACTCAATACAAAAATCATAACATTCTTGCAAAAATATTCTTAAATATAAATACTCATGAGTTGTCCAACACCCAGTGCCGCATGATAATTCAATGTTGGCACACAGTAATGTCATTTCCAGTATGGTTTACCAAAATCAAGAACGAATGAATCGGCTGCAGGTCAAATTCTGCAGAATTATCCCTGAAGTTATTTACTTCCATCTTTCCCTTCAAGGCTATAGAAATTCTTCAGTGTAAGATCGTGAGGAGCAAAGGGGCAGCTCCATGAGCAGAATGTAAAGGGGATGTCTCTATTTATTTCCAATGTCATACTTCATGATGTTCGGTATCACTTTAGAAATTGGGTTCTATCTTGGAAGTCATCTTAAAATAGGGTCATTATACAGAAACCACTTTTCATTTTCTAATTATACATAAACAACCTTTTAAGTAGGCTTTTATTCCAATCAACCATCTCCTAGTCAAATTTTTACTAAAAAACAAAAAATAACCTTAAAAAATAACCTTAAAAAATACAGTTAAAGATAAATTATTTGTATCCTAACTAGACCTAAACATTAACCAAGTGAGTCACATGTCTTGAATGTGAGTTTTTAAAGGTATTTTTGGGTTTTCAATGAAAATTTTGACTAGAAGGTGGTTGATTGGAACAAAAACCAAAATGAAAGATGGTTTCTATATAAATTAAAAACAAAAGACGGTTAATTTATAATGACCCTATTTTTAAGGTAGTTTCTAGAGGGGGAACCCTTAGAAGTTTGTTCAGGTATATAATTGATAAAATACTCCAGTATATGTGATGCTCTAGGAAATTAGTAATACAAATGATCAAAAACTTTCTTTGTAGAAGACAATTCAATAGAAATGGTAGGCAAGCTATCTTTCAAAATGTTGAAGTTACATCAAGCTTTAGAGGAAATCATATTATATTATGAAACCGGTGGAACCATGTTGGAAATAAGAGAAAACAGAAGTCACTTAAACCTATCAAGGAAATTTTGCTGAACAAAGCTAAATAATTCACATAATAATTCTTAAAAATGCATTCTCAACCATTACCATGTTCAAATTTAAATTTCCGGTGTACCTTATCTGAAAATTCTGGAAGATTTTCGTGTGGATGCTCTTTGAAATACTTCGACAATAGCATTTTGTCCAGCTGCGTACCTCCAAAAAAGTAGAAAAAGCTCAGGAATCCTACAGTTGTTGTTACATAAGGAAATGAATTATTGTATCTAACCTTAGATTCATCCACTTTAATAGGAAGATTTAATAGATACTGCCCAGACTGTGCAACATCAATCTCCTCATCAGTGACAATTTTAAAATTGCTCTTTTCCATTACCTGTTGTAGGCAAGAATTCAAATGTTAGAAGCCTTCTTACTTGACTTCTCTACCAGAAGTGCGTAATATTAGGCTTAAAATACAATTTGTCTTTACAATTTGGTTCAATTAAGAACAGTTTCCAACTGATCACACATGGCCTTGCACCTTTTTATTATGATAAGAAAAATTTATATTCAACGGCAAAAATTATCTTTCTATGCGGTTTTTCCCCCCAAAACACAGTCATGCGTCCTAAAGTTTAAATCATCTCGGGTTGTATGATTGTAACATGGATTGGGTGTCATTCAATGCCACGAATTCGAGTATAAGGTTGACTTCAAGAAAATTTATACACAGGGACTCGGTACAGTTAGTGTTCATACCTTAGTAACATGTCTGCACACATGAGTTGTGTAACTAGGGAGGAAAAAGAGTTAAAAGGAAAGCCAACAACCAATATAGCAATAGTGCCGACTTCTGCAAGTTGATCAGAATTGGGTTTACAAAGTAATATAGTAGGACTAGGTTTATATGCAGGCTCTTGTACTTGTAGGTCATGTAAAAGTAGTAATGTCACTCCTAATTGGCAGTTTGTCGCACACAAATTTTGGTATCAGATTTCTAACGAAATGTTCAAGGCTATTAATATCTGCTTGTGAAATATTGATACTTTAAAGCCCAATGGTCCATCCAATTTGCAAATTTATTGGATATTGATTTTATGCATGAACATACCATACAACCAGAAATCCAGTTTTCTCTTAAGTAACATAGTGGTGAATTCTGACATTGTATGAAGAATAACTCAGTAGATAAGCTTAAGTACATCTTTAAATCAAGAAGGTATCATAAATAAGTCAGTATGAGAATTGGATAGTTATATCTAATGATATGAGCTATGTTGGAGCCAATTCGGTAGAAAAGCTCACTAGAATGACTTAACATACTAGTGAAGTTGATCCAAAATCATAAATTCATTATATATGCTGCTTCTGTAAGAAATCTTAGCAAATGACTAAAGATATCCAAGCAAGAAGCCACCAAAATTCTGAACATATACTATTACAAATTATTGATCTAAGATTATATTCATCTATACCAGGCTTGCAGTAGTTAGCTCTATCCTATTTTCTCCAGACAAAGAAACACTGACCTGGAAAAGATATGTCAGCAGATTCTGTTCAAGAACATCAATCTCTTCAGGAGACAGATTCTGCTGTTCTAATCTCTGACCACCATGAACAGGATCAAACAGTGAGAACAATTGCTGCAACAATGTACCAAATCAAATATATAACATTCAGTGAAAACAGATAACAAACACCATATTTTTTCGATGCAAACAAGTGATTTTAATAGAAAAATATGCTCGTTCAGCATGAGTATGGTATCAACATGTCGACATGTGTTTGCCTACATGCGTAAATGTACGCACTTAAATTGATGTGTATTCAAACGAAAAACATACAATAGCTGCATACGTCATATCTATATGAGATGTTCATGGAAAAACAAGAGCATTATACCATTAGATCCTCAAACTGAAGAATATACCATGCACGGATAGTATATTCTACTCTCCTGCAGAGCTTGAGAAACTCAGCCCTGTCAGAACCACGCTCTGCAAAAGAACTTGAAGATAAGAGTCACAAGGTTTAAATTTTTTTCTAATGTACTTAACAGAAAAGGGAACAAAATCCCAGAAATAAGTTAGGTACTGGAAAATAAATAAACTCTTAAGCCAGCAATTTTACTCAATTAAACTAAAATGATAACTCTGTGCATGACAACAAGTAAATAATTACTGCCTTCGCTTCTTTGTTTCGAGAATCCATCTGCTCATGAATTTTCAAAATTGCGCACATAGATAACATAAACATATTTTAAGTGTTTAGCATACACTAGAAAACATAAGAAAAGAATGATTTCATACGTGGGGAAGTTTTATTATTTTATCCATAAATTCAAATAGTTAGTGGGTTCCACACAACATGCACATTTACATCTTGGATGCTAGTGTACATATCAGTCCTAGATACTAGATGGCTACTTTTGAAAGTCCCAGCTTATGGAGCCAAGAATGAATTTTTTTGCAATCATATGGATATGCTATCTACCTATCTACTTGCCTATGTCTCAGCCTATGGTTCTCTTTAGAATTTGTGAAAGGCATCTACACACAATTAAATATCATATCATGTAAAATTACATTGAGACTGAACTGCTAGGAATGTATAGATAAATGGAACTGAGGAAACATAGTTCAATCAAAAGTACATGAGACCCTCCAATCTACTACTCTCCTTTATTGCTCTTGTATCGTGGTACTACCACCAGAGTAGCATCTAAAAGAGTCATGGCTCCATTTGGCATGATGTACTTCATGGAAAGCTCTAAACAGCGTGATTTCAACTTCATAATGGGGAACGCCCAATTAAAAAGAGACTTGCCTACTACCTAAGACAATCTCTAATTCCAACCATAAGAATATATTTATTTTTTAAGTTCTTTCATACACTTTCAAATGCTTCTCTATATGTAAACTAAAAATCCCTAGGTGTCTGCAAGATCTATTGGACCTAATGAAGGATAAATGTTTTGCATGTTCTCTCAAGGAAACAATAACCATGAAGTGATGGTCTGGTAAGCACGAAAAGAACCCATGGAAAATGTGGAAAATAATTAGCCTCGCAGGTTATCAATTTGTGGGCATATATTATTCTTTTTCTCTTTCCCAAATTTATGGACAGCTGCAAGATCCCTTGCTCAACATGAGCCTGAGGTGAAAAAACAAATATATGAATATTTACATCTTTACTAAAACAGCATGTTACCAGAGATTTACATAGGAATTTTAGATAACAACACAAACGAGAGGCAATGGTTATAACTAGCATTTTAAGAGAACAAACAACCGCGGGTTTCTTCGACGGTTACCAAGAAAGGATTTTGAGAGGAACCCATGTCGAATTGGGGAGAATTAAGAACAGAAACACAAATGAAACATCAAAATCACAATCAAAAACATATTTACAAAAGTTACACCAACAGATGCAATGAGAATAAATAATAATAATTATTACCTATTAAATAGGCGAGTTTCATGATGAGCTTGGGCTTCATGATTGGAACCACTGACTCTCGCTCGAGCCTTATCACATCTTTCTTCCTGTCCTTCTTCCCGCCTTCTCCACCTTCAGTGGCCATGGCGTAGAGAGAGAGAATTTACAGAGAGAGAGAGAGAGAGAGAGAGAGACTCCACTTGTAGGGTTTATTTCTTTTGGGAACCAGAATCGTTTCGTGGGGCAGTAATCATATTCGGATTTGGGAGAGAAGAGAATACGATATCTTGCTTGAGAATGGAGGGAGCAAATAATTAGCAGGAGTCGCTGTCAGGGGTGGAAATGAATCAAACAATTTAGAACTAGTTGGATAAATGTTGAGTAACTATTTAGTCATATTTCGATATTTCGATTCGGTAGTTTATTTATTATTAAATAAATATTTTTAGTATTCGAGTTTATTAATGAATAAAATTTAAACAATTGTATATTAGATTCGTTTTTCTATCAAATATTTGTTAAAAAATTGATCACTTATTATTTGTACTATTGTAAATATAATGTCATATTTTTAAAGCACTTATGATTTCTACTTTAAGTTTTATGCACTAATTTTAAAACTTAAATAATCTTAAATCTGTTTTTTGATAAAAAATTTGATTTTAAATATACATATATCATATGTTATAAAGGAATAATTTCTGTTTATGAATTTAAATGCTACTACTTGAAAATCAAATTCTTTAACAGAATAAATACTATTTTGATGTTCGATAAGTATTTGTGAATATTTATAAATATTTATCAAATGCCAAGTACTCGAATTTGAATTCGAAAAAAATCAAAATATGAATATTAGAGGACATATTCGAATTCGATAATTTTAAACAAATACAAATATGAACACCTTAGTATTCGATTCGATTCGATTGTTTGCCACCCTTATTGTTAGCTTACATTATTTTGTTTGCCTAGTCACTTTGTTTTGTTTTATAAGCTTTTTCTCTATAAAATAATTAACTGTGATAAATTTGGGTCAATTGTGAATGGACCCCTTCAATTACTATTGCCCAATTGAGGAATAGTTCTATTTGTGCATACAGACTTTTTATTAAATTTTTTCAACTCTTTTAGGAGTCCTAAGAGATAGGAACTAAGGGTCTATCCTCACCAATAATAGTTTTAGTTGCCTCCTCAAGATTTAACACCATGTTTGAACGGGGTGAATTAGACCTAGCAACAGACCGGAAGCGGGCTTGTTCGGGTTGGGCTTGACTCGTTAATCTTGGGTTTGGGAGCTGTGAAAACCCGGCTAGCCAGCTCGCGCTCAAATCACCTATTTGAAAGTAGGACTGAAAGTACGTGGGGCTAAATTAAATGTAGGATTGTTTAATTAGTGAGACCCAATAGTATCGGACATGGTTTTATCCTCTAGTTAAATATTTTTTTTTGGTAATTTGAGGAGGCCCAATAGCATTATAGCTTATTTGGGGCCTAAATTTTGAACCAATGTGTGGGTTTTCATCTTGGTTTAGGCAGGACTCGATCCGAGTTCGGGCTTTGATTTCGGGCACTCTGCCTAACCTAACCCATAAACAGTCTGGATTGGGCTGGTCGAGCTTTCAAGTCAACCCCGACCAGTGGCCAGGCCTAGGATGAATGAAGGATATGGGAAGTTGGGGGGAAAGGTTTACATTGTTTTCATTAAAAAGGTTGAACATTGTTTGGAAAGTTTTCATAAAAAGAATGGATGGGAAAGGATGTGAGAAAAATCTCCATCATTATCCTTTATCCCATATGATCACAACACCCCCACCCCCGCCCTTCTCCAAAAAAAATTTTGGGGTGTAATGGAGGAAAAAGATTTCTGACCATCATGATATGAGTTCAACGGTTAAAAAATAGTTTACCTCTATTTTCTTTACTAAACTCCTAACATGATATTATATTGAGGGCTTTGGCTTACAAACCCAAAGCTTTACTCTGATTTACCTTTAAACCCAACAACTTTCAATTGAATACTCAAACCCAACTACTTGGGTTGATTTATGCTTAAATCCAAATTACAATATATCCACATTTACGCATTATATTTTACTAAACAAAAAAGCTTAAAATCCAAAACTACAATTCTCATTCTCTTCTCTAGTCTTAGATCTCAAGCCCACACTCCTTCAATAGCCCCCCACCCACCTCCGACCTCCATTCATGTATGTCGCCGCTCCCTCTCTCCACTAGCACAATCCTCAACTCCCGCGTTGCCGTGTAGAGTGACACAACATATGTTGGCCCACCGCTAATTATAATCCCTATCTCGATCATGATCTCAGTCTCAATTGTCGCGATCTCGATCACGATCTGTTGGTTTTTTATTGAGGTCGCTAACGTCGGAAGAATGGATCTTTGGGCAGAAAAGAGATGGAGGTAACCAATAGTGAGACTTTTTTGCTCGCCGGAGGCTCTCTAGCAACATTAGAGGGCGAGCTTCTTGCGCTTGGCCTTGGAGATGAGACGAACTTGAGGTCAGTGGTGGCGTCGGCAGAGGAGGGTTTGGCCGTGTTGAGATCATTGTTTGTGCGTTTTCCTAGGGTTAGGGTTTTATTTATTTATCTATTTTAAAGAGGCGATGAAAGAGAGAGGCCGTTGCTAGATGAATCCATTTTGAGATTGTAGCGCTCTGACATTAGGGATCTAGGTGGAGAAGGAGAAGGAGAAGGGTAATTTAGGATTTTTAAGTACTTTTTGGTATAATGCAATGTATAAATATGGGTATACTACATTTTGGGCTTAAACATAAATCCAACTTAGGATGTGGGTTAAAGCATTCGTTTGAAGGTTATCGGTTCCAAAAATAAATCAAGATAAACCTTTGGATTTGTAAACAAATCCCCTACTATATGTCCCCTTTACTTTTTTTTCCGTTCTCCTTTCCTAATTTCCCTTATATTCCTTCTCCAACCTTTATATTATTTTCATCCCATTCGTTTTCGATACGTTTGGTTTCCTTGCAGCTGATGCGGTGGAGTTTCTCAGGAGGGTATAGAAATTCATGAATAAGAATGTAGCGACAGCAGGATCCGCTGAGTACGTGCTTTGTAGGTTGGGTTTTACAATTTAGAAAGGATTAGCAGCGTAGCTTGTTGTCTGGTTGTCATCATCACATGTGTAATATTTCTGGCTTTTAAAATAATAATAACAATAATAAATGAGAAAGAATAAATAAATAAAAAGTTCGCTCCCTCTTCACAAAATAAACTACATGAGGTCTATTTTTAATTGGGCAATACTACAAGGAATTTACCGCAATTAATCCTTAAATATTCATAAACAACCATCGTTTTTTTTATTTGTTAGTTAGAAAACTATCATAAACTCTGATTTAGGTAACCACTACAAATTTGCTTTTATTGACAAAAATTCCAAAACATGGTTTGCAATGAGTTGAGAGGCAATAAATGTTACGAGGATATAAGCGAGTGACTTATTGCACTTTACCTTTCTTTTTCTAGACTCGGAGCTTTAATAGATACCGGGTGGATAATTGGAGTCGACCCGACCCGACCCGACCCAAAGCTATGCCCCCACTTCTTCCCCTCGCAACTCAGGGGCTGTTTGTTTGCCTAAAAAAAAGTGGAAAATCAAAGAATATGAAATCTTGTATCATGGTTGTTTGGTTGGCTAAAAAAAGAAGGAAATCAAAGAATATGAGATGAGATGAGATGAGTTGTCACCATATTATTGGATGATGTGAGTGATTTTTTAAGAAAACTTATTTTTAGATTGTTTGGTTGGTTAAAAAATAAGGAAATGTATTATAAGAAACATATTTCCTATAATAGTTTCTTTCTTGTGTTTGGTTCATTCTTAAAAATAAGAAAATAGATGAGATGAGATGAGTTGTTTGTATATTATTAGATGATGTGACCCACACTTAAGAAAATCAATTTCCTTATTTTTTTAGGAAATCGGTGGAAATGAAATATTAATGAGATGAGATGAGTCGTCACCATATTATTGGATGATGTGAGTGATTTTTAAATATGAGATGAGATGAGTTTGATAATGTGACACATTTCTTGTGTTTGGTTTATTTTTAGGGGTTGTTTGGTTGGTTTCCTAAAAACCAAAAAAAAAAGAAATCGGTACAAGGAAATCAATAAAATAATGTTTTTATCCATTTCCATCCCTAAAACTCACCCACAACATCCAATAAAAAATTATTTTTATCCTCCAACTCATCTCATTTCATCTCCTTTCATCTCCTTTCTTACCTTTAAAAATAAACCAAACACAAGAAATGTATCACATCATCCAACTTATCACATCTCATCTTATCTCATTTTTAAAAATCACACACATCATCCAATAATATTGTGACAACTCATCTCATCTCATTAAACCTTCATTTCCATCCATTTCCTCAAAAAAAAAACAAGAAATTGATTTCCTTAAGTATGTGTCACATCATCCAATAATATACCTCCAACTCATCTCATCTCATCTAATTTCTTATTTTTAAAAATGAACCAAACATAAACAACCTCAAAACATCATCCAATAATATATCTCCAATTCATTTCCTTATTTTTTTTAACCAACCAAACAACCTCAAAACAAGTTTTTTTTAAAAATCACTCACATCATCCAATAATAAGGTGACAACTCATCTCATCCCATCTCCTATTCTATAATTTCCTTCTTTTTTAACCCAACCAAACAACCTCAAAACAACTATTATAGGAAATAGGTTTCCTATTCTTTAATTTCCAAGTTTTTTTTTCGAAACTAACGGACCCTTAGGAGATGATATGAGATGAGTTGTTGGATAAAAATAATATTTTATTGGATAAAGTGAATGAGTTGTTAGATAAAAATAATATTTTATTGGATGTTGTGATGAGTTTTAGGGTGGCACTACAGGCACACCACCAACCACACCTTGGGGCACACCCCTCTCTCAGCTACAGTGCATGGGGTCCACATAAAAATTTTAAAAAAAATTCATGTGGGCCCCGTGCACTGTAAGTGAGAGAGGGGAGTGTGTCCCAATGTGTGGTTGGTGTTGTGCCTCTACCATTTCCCAGAGTTTTAGGGATGAAAATGGAGAAAATTGATTTTTTTTTTCGATTTGCACCCAATTTCCTATTCTTGATTTTTATGAAACCAACGAAACAGCCCCTCAACTCCGCTTGTGAGAGATTAAGAACCAAAATTCGTCATGATCAGGTTGACATCAAAACTCAATTTTCAATAATGAAAATGTGAGAGATCTAGAATCTAAGCACACAAATTAGGGTTTCAGAAGTTCGATCCAATGATCCCTTCAACCTCATTGAACCATCGCATTCGGCCGATCGTCTTCATCCTCCTCCTCTCCCTCTCGCTCGTCGTCGCCGCCGCCGTCTTCTTCCCCTCGTCAGCGTTTTCTTCTCGATTTCTTTCTCTCAAATCCACCTTCAAGTAAGAACTCAACTATCTCTCTTCTTAATCCCTGATCTGTTCAATTAGATTCCATTTTTTTATTTTTTTTTATTTTAGAAAAGTGTTAATTGTGATTTAATAACCTAAAGCTTCACCAATCTCAAACATTGGTACCCTAAAACTTTAAATTTGCGCGAAAAGACCTGAACTTTCACCACTTTCTACTTGGTATCTCCCTTGTCATTTAGAATTGTGTTTTTTTTGCTGCCGTTCAGTGTCAATTTTAATTCACTTGTGTTTGGATAAGTGAAGAAATAAATTAACTTTTTTTCAATGGGTTTAAATTTAAATTGTTAGAGGAGGAAGAAAGGGATTCGGGATATTTATTTTCAGCATGAGTATGTACATTTTCGTGGGTGATGTAGCTGACTTTATTAAAGCTGAGAATGGTGAAACTTTGGGATATTTTTTGGGCAAATTTAAAGTTCTAGGTGTAAAAGGTAAAAGTCAGTGAGACTTGTGTAACTAACCCTTTTGATAATGCTAAACAGGTCCTTTTTGCCGGAGAAGTCGGTTATATGGACGAATCGTAGGGCTTTCGAGTGGCGGCCTTGCAGTTGGTGGACTGACGAAGCATTAACTGGTTAGTAGTTATAATTGGAAGTTGCTTGATTTCTGCTATTTGATGTTATTTTACTCCTGAATGTTTCTTAATTGGCTTTATTGCAGAAGATTCCATTGCTTTTTTGTTGAAATGTTGCAGCTTTACCAGCGAGAACCAATGGTTATATTAGGGTTGATTGCTATGGCGGCCTCAATCAAATGAGACGCGATGTGAGTCTCTTCTCTTCGTTTGTGTTTGCGTGTTTAGCAACGAGAAAGTAAATGGGAAGAGGAATTAAAATTTTGAAAGCGACTTCACTTGGTATCTTTTACCTGTTTGGCAATTGAAAGTGGCCGGGAAAGTGGATGGTGCTAAGTAGCTTTTTAGCCCCGTTCACTTAAAATTTTTGAGAAATAACATGAAAAATCAATTGAGATGAGTCAAACGTTTTTTTTTCTTTTTACCATTTTAATTTTAAATATTCACTTTCTACAGTCTGCTTTCCATCACAACCAAACATGATAAAGAAAGTGGACGTCACATTATCTGTCATCTCATCTCTCCATATTTTCACTTTCTATGTCCAAACAATATTCGCAAATAAAAAGTTTTTTCTGCTTTCCATTTACTTCTATGTTGCCAAACACGCTCTTAATGTTTCTTTTTTTGTCTCTTAAGTTTAATTCTTTAAGTGTAGTTATGTGATGGTATTGGGATTGCTCGCCTATTGAATGCAACATTGGTTTTACCAAAATTTGAGGTTGCGGCATATTGGAATGAGTCCAGGTACAATTACGAAGAAAATGAAGAGAGAATAGTGTGTTTCTTATGCTATAGTTTGTAAAATAATATGGCTGATGAGGAATTTCAATCAGTGGCTTTGTGGATGTGTTTGATGTAGACTACTTTATTCAACAAACAAAGGGTTTTATTGAAATCATGAAAGAGTTGCCAGAAGAGATTGCATCAAGAGAACCGTTCAAGGTGGACTGCAGCAAGCGCAAAGGGCTTTTCGACTACGCCGAGGTTGTTCTTCCTTCGCTTTTAGAGCACCGCTATATCTCTATTACTCCAGCAATGAGCCAAAGAAGAGACAGGTAGAAGGGTGTACTCTCGGATTTATAAATTACACCTTTAAAGAATAACTTGGTATGCATTTTATTTTATTTGGTTGTTACTTTCACTATGTTGATTGCATAGCCCGATAGATAATATGATCTGTGGTTGTAGAATCTATGGCACTATGGTAGTCTTCGTTTCAGCAATGAGAAGCTATCATGTAGGACTTTAGCTTCTGCTGCAACAATATTACCTCCCCATTCCTCATAAAGGAAAGCTAAAGCAACAATCAATAGAAACCAACAAAAGAAATAGAGGCTTTCATGTGACAAAGTCGTGAGCATGAGTTTTGGTACTTATAAGTAGGAATATCTGTGTTCTGGGGCTTCGAGAATGAATAGATGCTTATCTTATAGGCTTGTTTTTTCAGATTGGATGTCAGTCTATTTCTGTCTGGCTTATGGCGTTCTATAGCTCTGATAGTCTGGCCACTGAACGTGTCATTTCTGTCTGTTTCTTTGTGCCTCAGATCCTTTCCTGATTTATAATTGGAAGCAAAAAAACATAACTCGTCTGAGAAGTTTTTTTAAATAATACCTTGACATGCACACTTTTACATTAGGTAAATTGCTGATTAGCAGGAGTGATCAAAGGCTATGAACATAGTTTACTTACTCATACCTTCAGACCATATGAACTTAAATAAACAGTTTAGATGTATATTGCAAAAGGATTGTTGTGTAGTGTGTGTTTACGGACAATGTTAGATGAGCGTACACTTTTGAGCGTGCTTGGTATCAAGAGAACATCTCTGCCACTACCAGCAACTACGTGGGGCTGCATCAAAGCCTTTTGAAATGGAATATGATTAGGAAGACGATTGTGTTTCTTGAAGAAGTTCATATTAGGAAATCATACAGAGCATTCCTCAAAGAGTTTAACGAGAAATGGGTTACTAGCTGAGAACCAACCAGAAGATTCTCCTTTGGTCTTCTCCCAATACTAGCTGAACTGCTGTGAGTGGGAAAATGCATTTATGTTTCAGTTTCGAATTTATACTGATTGTAATCTTCTTGATAACTTGCCAAACAGAGAAAAGTCTGAATGAATATGGAGGTCTTTGATGGACCAAACATCTCGTGTACAAGAACAAAGTAGTAAAGAAGACGTAGGAAATAGGTGAGAGTTGTCTACAGTCAGGATCACCTGTTATGGCTTATCCATTTGTTGACAGTTGAACCCAATAGTACCTAATATGTTGTATGGTCCATAATTTTATGCTACAAACTATGTGCTAAAAAACAATATGGATGTTGAAAATGAGAATGAATGATATATCTCGTAAATTGTGTGTCCGCAATGAAATTAATAATAGGAAGAAACTTAAGCGTTCATTAATTGGGGACCAGGTGACAGATTAAGAGTGAACCATAATGTTATAAGAATATAAAACCGAAGGGCCATGGACTTCCTCTAAGGGCATTTAGAATAAAATGAACATACTTTACAGGGAAGCAATTTGATAAAATTACATGATATTGCATGTTGCTTTCATGGGAAGAGATGTTGATGAGGGATTCTCCTTAGTTTGAAGCCTAGTTGATTGCATGTAACATATGTTATATTAGGGACAGTGAAATTGATGATGAAGACCCCACAGACTGACAGTAAAAACTGCACATATTACTGTTTCAAGGCCCCAGTATTGTAATTGATGCATTGTTAATCTTCATCGATGCTTCATTGCTTTTTGGAACCTTTGCCATTTACATCAGAAAAGAGTATGAACGTATATGACCAAAAAAAAATGGAAGCAATAATTTGTATGTTCTTCCTCCATATATATCCCGATGTTGCAGGTACCCTTTATATGCCAAGGCTGCCCTCTGCCAAGCTTGCTACAATGCCCTTCGTCTCAACAAAGCTCTGGAATTTAAGGGCAACGAGCTCCTCAATGCTATCCCCAAACCCTTCCTTTCCCTTCATCTCAGGTTTGAACCCGACATGGTAGCCTACAGCCAATGCCAATACTCTGGACTAACGCCCGCATCACAAAAAGCCATTGAAAATGCTCGTGGAGATCGAAAGCCATGGACTGGTGATCTTGCTCGTGTTTGGAGAACTCGAGGAAAATGTCCTCTAACACCCAACGAGACTGCCTTCATACTGAAATCGCTTGCAATACCTACTAACACAACAATCTATTTGGCAGCAGGAGATGGTTTGTTGGAGATTGAAGGGCTCACATCAGTTTATACCAATGTTTATACTAAAGCTTCCCTTCTTAACAGTGAAGATTTTGCCCGCATGCATGGAAATTCCAAGGCTGCACTTGATTACTACGTGTCGATTAATAGTGATGCTTATGTTGCTACCTATTTTGGGAATATGGATAAAATGGTTGCGGCAATGAGGGCGCTGAATGAGATGTACAAGACTTTGTTTTTGAGTAGAAGGGCTTTTGCTGTGTATACTGAGAAGGGGATGAGAGGAGAAGAGTTGGCGGAGGCTATGTGGAAGGAACATAGGGAAGATTTTGTGATGGGGAGGGGTTCAGCTTTGCCTGATTGCTTCTGTGAGGTTAAGTTGTGATTGTGGGCTTTGGTGTTTCATTTTGTAAAACTCTCTGTTTTATTACTTAGACGTTTCCTTACCAAGATTTTTCTGCTACAAATCTTGTAATTCATTGATGTGAATCTGTTGTTCAGATTCTTTTCTGCAGAGGTTCCCTTCTCATAGATTTTCTGCAAAGGAGCTTGTTTTACTCGTTATTAACAGTTGGATCCAGCTTATGCGTCATGATCTGTTTCTGGATCTAGAGATCATTTATTCTTCTAGTGTTGGTAGGTACAGTGCTTATTGTGGTAAGGAGGAGGTGTGTAGTGTTGAATACACGTGTAACTCATCTATTCGGAAGCTTTAATCTCAATCGTATCCATTTTCTCTCCTTAACCCGCCCTTCAGGGGCTGTTTGGTTCCTTTTTTTTGGGTGGTAAAAGTGGGGAAAGCTGCCAAAAATGTCAGCTTTTTGGTAACTTTCCCCCAAAATCACCCCTTAAAAGGTGATATTTTTGACAGCTTTCTCCTCTTTTACCACCCAAAAAAACCTATCCAAACAGCCCCTAAGTTGGAGGGTTTGTGGAGTAGCTACTGCCTGATAATTGTTTTCATAATATTCATGCTACGAACTGTTTCTTGAAGGGGACTCTGCTAAACTGTTTTTTTTTTTGGTTTATAAATGATACGAGGGAAAACTTTTTTTTTTTAATGATACGAGGGAAACACCTTGCCCAGGCACAAGGATCTGTAGGATGAAGCCCGAGTTCGATCCGTAACCCCTACCAAGCCCGAGTTCTATCCTGAACCTCTCTCAACCGAGTAAACCCCGGGTGTGCGGGTCCCACCTTGCGTTGTCACGAGTATTCTACTGTGCCCCCAGACCACCTACCTGTAGTACCCATGGCGGGTAAAACTCTAGTGAACCTTGTCATTTCAGATTTGAGAGTGCTTACTATTGTAATATGAATTATATACATTACGGAAGAGAATAACAAAATTTTTCAACGTTCAAAATCGAAATGTTGATCAGATACATCATAAGCTCATGTTAGTTATTTTACGGGACGGGAAAGGGACATTGCACCCCTCTTACAGAGGGGTCAAAGACAAGTCAAAAGGGAAATCAAAAAGATGATTAGAGAGATTATGAGCCTCTATGGTGAATACTTGTGATGTTATGAGAGCCCTCCATTATTACTTCTTCACTGTTGTGGGATATTGGCAAGGATTAGCCCCTACAGAGCGAGTCCAGCTTGTACATGAAACGTGCTATTCATTGTCTAGCTGTTTACTATTATCTTTGGCGAGTCAAGGGATCATTCTTGCTGTCGTTGAGATCCCAACTCTTTGGCCGATCAATAGAATAGCTGATAGGCAATCGCCATGGAAGCAGGATATTGATTATGATAATTCAAGTTCAAAAAAAAAAAAAACAGTTCAAAAGCAGATTTTGGCAGAACGACCAAGTAGAAGAACAAAAGAGTGGTTAAGCGTAAAACATAAAATGAACATGACACTTACAAAATGAAGCATCCGTTAAAGTATAAAAAGAACAGAAGCTAGACAAAAAAAGGTTTTAAATAGATATGTCCGCATAAAGAAAGGAGAAGAGCACTTCAACATAAGGTGTTCAAAATTAAGGCAAACTACACGTTATGCCTATGGACAAATTTCCAGTTATATTGATGAAAGACGAGCAGTTGCTTTAAGGCTTTATAGAGTCATCCCCAGCATCATGACAAACCTTGAAGTTTCATCTGACGAGTTACTCTTCTATTCAGGCTGCTAGGAGAGAGATGACCCGAACCATTAGCCTGAATCTGACTCTTTTTCTTACCACCTTCACGTTTAGGACTAAAATCGTTAGGCGTAGAACTTCCTCCCACATCCTCCACCTTCAGATCTTCAACAATATCTTCAACACCACCGCCAACGCTCTCGCTCTTCTTTGCCTTCTTACCACCTCTTTTTGTACTCTCTGTTTGTTTCCGCTTGCTGTTTGTCTTCTTTGCTGGACTCTGACAGTTATCTTCACCATCTGAGGAGTTCCCAGCATTAACCTCAGAATCTCCATTTGCTGACTCGAGTTTCTTTTTCTCTGTATCATCACCATCGCTTCCATCTTCACTCAATTTGTTACCTTGATTATCAATCTTATCCTCACTCGACTCCTCTTCTACAGCATCACTCTGAGTCTCCTCCTCATCATCATCATCGTCTTCATTATCTCCTCCCTCCCCAACCTTCTCCATGACCTCGCTTTCTTCCTCAATTGAACCTTCAATATTCTCTTCCTCAATTTTCTTCTGGAGAGATTCAATCAACTCCATAACCTCCCTGTTTACCTGGATAAGAGAAGTAAGCCAAATGCATTAATAAATAACAAAGTCTAGAGTACCTGTAGAGAATGAAGGAATTTTATGTTTGAATTTGTTGCATGGACTGGCCATTTCTGAACTTCAGTTAGAATTGTTATATAGGCATGTGTAATTGTCACAAAGCTCAAAATTAAACAATATTCAGGCATAATGTGGCAAACAAGCTGATAAAAGTAACCATCCACACATTTCTTGGGGGCAATTACACATGCAGAGGATTATCGACAGTTATCGTCATTATCCTTGAATAACAGAGTGTTGACATATTGGATATGTTTCCTGATACATGTACAAAGTAGTGATCGCTCTATATATTTTTCACAAGCACACTCAGCATCTTGAATGCAACAGAAAACAAGGCATGATTGGATGCACATAGGTCTTGAAGCAAATTGAAACTAATTTTTCTCAGCACCGCTGCATGCATGTACTCTCCCTCCAAATGCATTACTACACCAGCAAGAAGTGATGCTTGCAAGAAGTCAATTACAAGATATATTCTATAGAGAATGAAGACTTTGGAAACTACTCAGCAGTTTAAAAACTTTGGAAAACATATTCAGATATATTCTATAGAGAATGAAGACTTTGGCAACTACTCAGCAGTTTAAAGACTGGAAAACATATAAGAGAATCAACCAATGGACTAATTACAAATCTCAAGCAACAGAACAGTTAATATTTAATGAAGGTGTTTCATAACATTCATGAAAGCTGTGAATCAATTCTAAGGGTTTGTAGATGCATGTTAACAAGCACACTCAGCAAAGCCAAGCTTAATAATAGAAAAAGAAAATTTGAATCCCCAGGTTAACAAAGGGTACATTTCCTTTGAGATTCAATTACGCAATTTCTCTAGTTATTTCTTTTATCAATTTTTATCATCTTACTCTCCTTATTTCTTATTTTATTGCGCATCCAGTATAGGAATCACAACAGTGGCATCAGGTAGACAGCCTAAGAATGTCAGTTTCAATTGTCCAATGGATGGTATGGTTATTATTGGGAAAAAAAAAACAAAGTCAATGGTGATAGTGATTGTATGAGGCATGTTTATTTCTTTCCCCATGTAGCATAAGCCAGTGCAAACTGGTTTCTAGTTCGTACCTGAGGATTTTGTAAGAATTCTGATATGTCATTTGTACAGGATGGACACTTTTTCACAACCTTTTGTGCTCGAAGAGTTCGCCCTCCACGTGTTCTCTCACGTACAAAAGATTGATCAGCATAGGATTCAAGAAGACACAGCTTGCAGAAGTTATGTGCACAAGGCGTTGTAAGAGGGAGAGTCATAACCTTCCAGCAAATATGACAGCTGAATTCTGCAGAAGTAACCAGTATTTTCTTTCGTGAATTACAGGTATAGTTACTTCTGAAAGAACAAACCAGCATAAAAAAGAAATACTGAAATTTTCTAAGAATGCTATGCTCAAGACCGTACATTTACAGGTTTTGAGGAAGTATACCTTTTAGAAGTTTCTCCTTGATGGTACTTGGAGCATTTCTTGCTTTTCTTTTTCTTTCACCATTATTTTCACTGGTCAGAAGCTTTCTACTTGGTGGTGGCGGCCTGGTCCACTTCCAACCACATCCCTCCTAATAAAAGAAGATTCAGTTTTATCAGAAAGAGACTTGAATTCTAGAGTCTACAACAACCAAGCCTTTCCCCCAAATGTTTGGGGTCGGCTACATGAATTCTATTTTTCCATTCTATTCTGTTATGGGTCATTTCCTCCGTTAAGTTAGTTTTAATCAATCCTTCTTAATTGCTTCTAACCAAGTCATTCTAGGTCTACCCCTAAATCTACTAGCCCATTAACTCTAATATTCCGTTGTACATGACCAGACCATCTTAATTTATTCTCTCTCATTTTATCCTTAATAGGCGCAACCTCTAATTTACTACGGATGCACTTATTTCTTATTCTACCTTTTAATGTATACTCATTTTTTGAATCCTGCAGTCTTCTCTGGAGGGAAAAACCTACCGTACCAATTTGCATACAAATCATTAGCACTGTTTTAAATATCGGCCGATAATCGATATTATCGGCCGAGTTATCGGATTTGGGAGCTCTCCGATAGGATAACTTGGATTTTTAACCGGTTATCGTTTTTGGCAAGTTATCGGGGAGTTATCGGCGTTATCGGTACTTATCGGCCGATAAGTAAGGTTTTTTTATCGGGATTATCGGCCGATAAGTAAGGCTATGCAATCAAATGGTTTCATCGTGCGGTCAAGATGTAAGTTTTGCTTTCTACAATTGGTTAGTGATTCTAAACATGATGATTTACATTTTGGTATGTTTATATTTCATTAAGCATGGTTAGATTACATTTTTTAGTTATTATATTATATATATACACCATCTAGTATATCACTCCGATAAATACTACTTATCCCCGATATATCCCCGATTTCCGCTATCCGATAAGAATTTTGGCCGTCCGATAAATTCCCGATAACCGATATTTAAAACCTTGATCATTAGTAATGTTCAGTAGTTGCATTTCCTTGGTACGAGAGATGAGACTGTCCACTAGATTACTAGAAACAAAACTAACAAATTTTACAGCAAATACCACAGTGAAATTTTCCTAATGGGTTGGCTACGCAGGTTTCTATCATTAATCAATTAATGTGGGCTTGTTTAAGTAGGAAATGTCAGTCTATATTGGCTTGGCTCTGACTTAAATTTTTTCCAAAGACAAATGTGATCTCAATATGGCTTGCTTTAGTAAGGGATGCCATTCCATTTTAGCTCTTGCTTAAATAGTTTCTCAAAGACGGTGGTCTCAACATATCATTCGAGCTGCTTTGCGTAGACTATAACCTAGTCTAAGAGAGTTTGGAGGACAGCCCTTATGTTGAATGTATATCTAGTTATAGTTATCACCAATTGCCAAACAAAGTTTTATTGAAGGGCCCTCACTATCTTACTATTTCCTAGCTTGGAACACTGAACCAATTAGACGTTAGGTTAAAATCCATTAATGTAACCTACAAGCCTTGTCAATTTTTATATGAACTTTCTTGATTTGCATCATTTTCCTTGGAAGACTCATTATGATGGAAAATGCTTGAAGGAGGTGACAGCTGAATATGAACATTTTACTCGCTAAAAATACAACTGTCGAACAAAGGTTTATTGCATGCATATAGAGTTGTCGCCAATTTTTCCAAAGAAAGTTTTATTGAAGGGCCCTCACTATCTTAATATCTCTTAGCTCAGAACTTAGATTTAACTTGACAATGCATTAGAATTTATTCATGTAACCTTCAAGTGATGTCAATTTTTATATAAACTTTCTTGATTTGCATCATTCTCCTCGGCAGACTAAATATGATGAAAAATGCTGAGGTTAGAACTGAATATAAACAGTTTGCTCACTAAAAATACAACTGCCAAACAAAGTTTTATTCAATGCATGTAAAGTTGTCACCAATTTTGCCAAACAAAGTTTTATTGAAGGGCCCTCACTATATTAATATTCCCAGCTCAGAACTTAGAATTAACTTGACATCGCATTAAAATTTATTAATGTAACCTTCAAGTGATGTCAATTTTTATATAAACTCTCTTGATTTGCATCATTCTCCTTGGCAGACTAATTATGATGGAAAATGCTTGGGAGGCAAAAGCTGAATATGAACAATTTGCTCCCTAAAATTACAACTGGCATTTAATCAAAGTATTTCAGCCACTAGTGTCAAGATATCAGCTATTTAAAGAAAATAGAGAAGGAAAAAAAAAGAAATCGGTAGACATGGAGAACGATGACACGTAGCAAAGTAAAATAAGCATATACATGCCTCGTAATCCCATGCTGCCTTTCCCTTTCTCACTGTAATATCGATCGCTTGCTTCAGTTCCTCAATTGCAGGCAAAGGTCTAGGTCGATCCCCATGTTCATCACTGCATCACATTAGGAAAAAAAGCTCAGAAATCGTGAATGGTGTGCGCCTCTTAAGCTGGTGTAATTAGTTAACACCTAACAGTGAAAAGAGAAATGTTTTGAACTACGTTAGACATGGGTACAGGACATGACAACTTTGTAAGAGTTTGGGTGTGAGGACACGGATACCTATCTAATAATATACTAAAATTAATAACTTACATGAGATTGATATTGTTTTTAATTCTCATGTTATGAGAACTAAAATTCTTCTATTTTATGTTTCGTTTACATATCTTTTATTATCTAGATTACAATATAATTTAGAAAACCTTCTGAATTTGAACTTGATACCTAAAAGACCGTTTAAAATTATAGTTCTGAACTGGATATGGGCTGAAATGATCCCAACTAGTCTCCAACGAGTTTCAAGAAGTGGGCATGAAGTACAGGATATACGTCCAAGAAGTGTATGACAAGTGTTTTCACTTTAAATTAAAACATATAAAATAAAATTGAATACATGCTGATATATCCAAGGAAGTGCCGATCTCCAATACAGTACATGCACGTACCGCTTCATGATAGAAGTACCCCTGCAACTTTGCTTCTAAACATGGTTTGAAATCTTGACTTTCACAAGGTTTTGATTCACCTTTATTGTTATTGGTGTCAGTGTTTTCAATGCGCGAGGCGCAATGCGAGGCGCAAAGTATCTTTACGCGCACATGCGCAAGGCGTAACGCGATGCGTGCGCCCGAGTGATGCGAGGCGCACACCACACACATAATATTTCAATATATGTAATCAAGCACGAAAGAACATATTTTTAGAATTTACATAAAAAATATCATGATAAATAATATCTTGCTACAAAATCACAATATATTGCCTTAATTTCTAATGCTAACACCCAACATAGTAGCAAATTTCATAAATTTTCAAATCAAATGTTAAATCAAGACTTATATCCAAACTAAGGATTAGTAATGGTCCTCAATTGAAGGTTATTAAAAGCACAATGGATTTATTTTGTTTTTTGGGATATGGAATATCAAGTATAAAGACTCGATTGAAATGTTAACAAAAAAACTATATGAGGAAATACACTACATGCATCCTACACAAAGTACGGATGTACGCGAGGCGCAAAAGGCGCTGCTGCATCAGATGTGGGGCGCATCGTCACCGCCCCGCATCGTAAGGCGCATGAGGCGCAATGAGGCGCGCGCATTTGAAAACACTGATTGGTGTTGAGGGTTTAGACAGTTTTTAGATCGCAATTATTAATGAGAGGAATAATTCAATACTCAGCCACAAGATTTATACTTGTTTATTCTGCCTTTAATGTTTGCAGTATAATACTATGAAAGTCGAATTTTGGCGCTTCATATCTCATCTCTTCCTGTATTGGCTGTTATGAGCGAAAATCAGTTTGTATGGGTCATGATTATCCAACATAAATAGTATATTAGACGATATCAACCTTTATTAGTTATTATTAGACAATATCAATAGCATCAATTGGTTTCAACCAAATCAGATAGACATGCTTAAATTTTGCTACTGACAACCGCTACACATTTATATTGATTGTACTTCAAATCTTGGTCCCGACATAAGTACTATTAATATAAAAGAAGAAAGGTTTCAAGATAAGTACTATATTCAATGCTTCATAGCACATTCGCAATAGGAAATAAATGTCTCGAGAAAAATTAGAGTAATAAAAAGAAACAAGAAAGTTTCAAACATACATATTTCATTGCATTAAAGTATCTAGCTAGTCCCTTTGGACAAGAATTGATTTTCCCAACCTTCGAATTGTGTAAGATGTGACGATCAGATTGACAAATTAACCTTTACTAAGTTGCATATCTACAAGATCTTGACAAACTTCCCTTACTTTGTTCTTTAGTAGCCAAATATTAACCTTTTAAATTTATTTATTTCCAAAAATTCCTAGTCTTACCAAAATTTCCATTTATCTTTACTCTAGTCCTCTGATCTTCATTTCTGTCTTTATGTTCAACTTATCCATATGATTGCCCGAATGACAGTCACAATGGTTTCTGATGATTGCACTCTGGCCCAACCTCCAAGAAGCACACATGCACGCACTACCCTAAAGAAAAACATCTATTCATCTGCTGCCATTAGTTAAGAAACTTCTCTGTTCCCATCTTATTCAAAATAAATCCAGAACAAATGAAGAAAATCTGCTTTCTTAATAGCACATGATATCACACTCTTAGCTTTCATCAAAGTCATCTTACCAGTGGAATTACACTTCCATTGAATCACACTTCTCATGAACACGGTTAAATCTAGGATTAAAATTTATTTCTATGCACATTAGATGGCTTCTGGAGAAACAGAATCAGTCTGCAGCTCAATAGAGTGCAGGAAGAATACATTAGGATTCTGATTCTTAATGGAAAAATAAAGGAAAAATGGGTAAACCTTGTCCATGGTGCTGGCTCATTATCGCATCGAACAAAAAGGTATCTGCAGACCTTGAAACCCTGAAATCCAAAGACTTTGGTGAATACACACATTCATATAACGTAGAGAAAGACAACATGCAATAACATCCCAGCCATGAAATGATGGTCATACTTGAATCCCAACTTTTCTCCAGCACTTCTCAATCCTGTAAATTCCATCATATCGCACCCCAGTTTCAGGTGCATATGAAGAACGCTTCTCTTTGTGAGATCTGCTCAAAATTTTGAAATAAGGAAACTGGTAAAAGAAATTAGGTAACACTGGCTAATTTCAGAATGCATAATTCTAAAATGAAGTCAAATTTTCACCCAAAAAAAAATACAGGACTAAAAGATAAATGGAATCAAATTTCTGGGACCCCCTCCTTTTTGTAAGCTTTTAATGGCTATTCTTGCCATCAATAAATAAAACAGGTCCGGCCAGACACCTGCCCGCGAGTCAAGGTGATGAGGTCCTATGTTACCTGAGGAGAGAGGTGCCAAAAAAGACGATCGCCTAAGTGAACCAAGGCAATAAATATTCAAAATTTCTCATAAACATTACAAACAATATGCAAATACCAATAAATAGTAACAAGACAAATTAATCACAACCAAAATTTTCAAAGTCACAAATTTAATAAGTCATAAACCATCTAAATTAAGTACTAAGTAACAAGTATTGAATAGTAATATTAACTAGTAACTGCTAACATATACAAGCAACAATCTTTGAACTTTAAGGTTCAAATTATGGCATGTCCTCAAAATGATATAGCTAATATAGTACATTACGACAAAAAATAGTGAAAATTTGACCAAGAAAAATTAACACAAAACTTCAATTATGAAAACAAACTTTACTTTATTGGACACCGTTCACACCTTCAAAATTTTGAAGCAGAGGCAAACACTTCGTGCCTTGCATCACATGCCTTAGGCGAGTGTCTGAGCCACAAAGGTGAGATCATAAGGCGCCAAGGCGAGCTCTTGAGACACCAAAAGTTACTCGCCTTAGTAACCTTTATCGCTTGGCAATATGCAAGGCGCTAAGTTACAAGATCGCCTCACCTGAGCGCCTGAGGCACATCGCCTTTAAAACACTGGTGTGTGTGTATACACGGAGAAATGTATACGAGCTGACAAGTCATTTTGCAAAATGAGCTACCCACTAATGTCAATAGTGTTTACGCTCACCTAGTTGTCACATCGGGTGGGTGTGGGGTCTTGTGTTTGTGAGTGGGCAGCTCATTTTGCAAAATGAGCCGTCATCTCATACCCATTGCCCCCTTACACACACACGCGCGCGCACACACACACACACACATATATATCTAATCAGTATTTGCAAACATAAATTGATAATGTCCAATGCAAGCTCATAAATTGATTGCAGCTATAACGATAGCCAGTTGCCCCATGGTACAAAGCAAGAATGTAAAATTGATGACTGGTATCAGATATTTATGTTTATCATTAGTTCATTGGGTGTAATGTATACATTCCAGCATAAGGAAAAATATGGAGTTCTCACTTATCACATTCATGAATATGTACATTGATGTCATTGATCGCAAGAGAGTCAAAATAACATAAGTTCTTTCTTTGAATTAAGCATGCATCATACCTCACCACTCTAACGGGGTAACCATTTTTGCAGCTAATACGTAATGCTTCATTAAGCTTCACAAATGTTTGGTCAAAAGACTGATCCTTATTAGTCCTTTTGTTCCCACTCAGATCTCGTCCACCACTGTTCATTTCATAATTAAAATACATAAATATCAGGTAAAGGTATAAACAGTGCAATCAGCACAAAAGATAAAAGAATATGAAAAACATAATGCTGAAAATATACCAAAAAGATCAGAATACAAATTTTCTTTAAAACCAAAGCTACTTAGAAATACAAAGAGATACACAAACAGATGATAGAAAGATGATTTACCTTCCAGTATACAAGAACCACTCCCCGTGATCTTCATCATCTATGTATCCTCCAGAAAGTGCTACTGACTGAGCCCCATAACCAGACTGTCCTGCAATGCCCGCAACATGTGGAAAATGTGCTCCCCATTGCCTGCATTCCATTCTATCCTCCCAGGACTCCCCTACAAGTACACCCTTTTTCCTCTTTGGATCATGCTCTGCTAGGATAGGACCCAAATGATCTGGAGCAATGGTGACAAAGATTTGACCACTGCAAGCATTAGACTTGCCAGCCCTCTTAGCTCGCTCAGTAGTGAATGCAGTTTCAGGTCTGCTTTCATTACCAATAAAATGATATGGTGTTGAGCTACATTGTGCGGCTCGTTTTGGTGTTTTTGCCATACGAATAGCAACAACAAGTGCTGAGTTAATTCTTGGTTGGGATGCCATTTTTGGTGGTATAGAAGCACGACACTTTGCGCATGTGCGCTTACCCTGCCCAATCCATTTCTGGAAGCACTTTAAACAGAAATTGTGACCGCAGGGTGTCTGCCAGAAAAAGAAACATCAGCAATGGTCAAAATGCAGAGACCTTGCTATAATAGGATAAAAAATATCTTAGAAAAAAACCAAAAGACAACAGAGAATGATGTAAAAGAAATTGATAATAGCTAAAGTGATATAAAACAATGCTAAAAATGTGCAGATCATACAACTTCTTGTTACTTGGGAAATGATGCTTACTCAATCGCAAGAGTTCTCTGACACAATTTTTGAAAATAAATTATGATAAATATCAGCAAAGCAGGTTTTCTTGATTTTCTTAGGTACGATTACTAGTGCTCATTAGGAAAAGCTAAATTGCTTGCTAGCTGATAGCCCACAATATGTACACATATATAATAAGAAATTTGAATAAGCAAATGTGTTCTTTTGGTTAAGCTTATTAACCTTTTCGTGTTTGATCATTTTGAAGCCTGATACACATACAGATATCTGGCATCCTTCTATTTAAAATAGCGAGATGGATAACAATTGGGATGAAATAACAAATTCCCCCTTAAAGTATTGTAGCCCCCACTTTTCCTTTAAGAGTATCAATTTGCATATTATCCCACCGATACTCTGTGTATGGACCCAAGGTGGCCATTCTGTGGGCTCATTCTAAGAGTCCATACCCACGATATTTGGCCATTTTTAGTGGTTTCAACCTGTTTCCAAATGTTTTCGCAAGGCAAATTATAAATTCATGAGCTATAATCCATGATATTTTACCATTTTCAGTGGAGGGGTTTTTCTCTTATTTTTAAAGTTGAGTGAGTTTATCTATAATATGCCGAAACTTTAGGGTGATTTTCTCATATTAAAATAGTTGATAATTTTGATTCAATACTTAACAGGTCAATGACGTGGCAGTGTGGGACCCACTTTTTCTCCTTTCCCATGGAAATTCCCAACCCACTTTCCCCGAAAAAGGTATCCTTTATCCCTTTTTAGTGATTGGAAAATCATTTTTGAAATTGCAGAAATTGGGTTTTAGGGGGGGTGCAAAAAGCACGGACACGTCATCAATCTTCTAAGTACTTGACGGTAGCCTCAAGAAATGCCCACATCGGGCAGGTATATATTAGTATCAGGGGGATGATAGGTAAATTGATAATTTAGGGAGAAAATGGGAATTCAATCATACGTTAGCGGGAGTTGGTCGACCATGTCAAATATACAGGAGCATGTCCTGGTGCAAATATTACGTATTTATGCTACTGTAATATGCAACATCATTATCAAAAGGTAATGCAACTTTCTTCATTCTTTTCTAATTTTCATTTAAAAGGAACTAAACTATGAAGGTTGAACACATTTTATTTCCAATAATTAGTCATATTCAATGATAAAATTGTGATTTTGACTATGTGCAGTTACAAAGTTATGATGATTAGCAATGAACCATAGCAATATGTTTACCTACATCTCCTTTGCACACAGGCATTCATAGGCACACATTTTTCTAGAAAACAAAGTTCTCAGTACGTGATAAATGACAAAAATAAAACCAATACATTTCTTATCAATGCTAACAATATATTATTAACATACAATTCAAAGTGTCGTTTCACTTTTAAGATACACACAGGCTGACAAAATGAGAGCGAAAGAGGAGTGAATTCCAGAAATTGACAAACAGAGTGATAAAATGTAATCAGATCTTTAAAATGATAATGTCTAAACCCCTTAAAACAAGTCAGAATTTTCTTATTCCATTTAGTATATGATGTTGGATACTAAAAGGATATGAAGAGGAGATCAAAGTTGCTCAAGCTGAGATCTTTTGGATAAGTATGTGTAATTTATTCTATGACATCAGTATATTCATCCCTTATGAAATGTCTTGTCCACCAATATTCTGCACTTTCTAGCACAATTATCAACTTGCCCAGTTTAATTTCCAAAAATATCGACAAAGTGAGATAAATATGATTATTGCATTAAAATTTTGTAGCAAACTAACAACAATGTCACTATCTTTATGCTGGAAGGTTGGTTCACACACAAAGGTAGGTAAATGTGTAACAAACATACATGTTGATTTGGAGTTTTCAACACAAATTATTCTAGAGTTAGACTTGGGAGTTTTTGACACAAATTATTTCTTGTCAAACATGTTACCTGTGTCCATGTTCACAATTATTGACGTCAAGCAATACAAATCATTAATCCTGACGTATATGACTTACCATTCAATCTAACGGTTCGGTTTCAATAATTAAGAAATATTTCCATTTATCATCAAACAGGTATAACACCTAAATTTACTAAAACAGACATATGAAAGCTATACTGATCGGAGGAGTAATAGTTAAAAACATAAATGTAAATTGTTCCTCACATTGAATTAAAGGAGCAGCTTACCATTTTCACTTAAAAACATAAGTTATCACTAACACATGCTGACAATGGAATGCCAAAAAGTAGCCAAATAAACTTGATTCATACCTTGATTCGCTTCGTTAGCTACAAATACTACGAAAAGGAAAGTCTCGCACAGAATAATGCAACCAAGCTCACCCATTTATCCATCAAACTTTAACAATTACTAGATTAAGCAAAAAAAGAAAGAAAAAATCGTTTTTAATGGATAAATTCAGAGGGGATCACTAATAATAGCACAGTAGCACACACTACTCTACTTTAAAATCGCGAATGTCCGTTGTTCATCACATTAAACTGAAGGAGAATTTTACCAATTCTACTTAACATCAAGCCTTTGTAAGAATCCCTACAGATCTAACACAGAATAATGCAACCAAGCTCATCCATTTATTCATCAAACTTACACAGTTACTAGATTTACCCAAAGTTAGAGGGAAATTGCCAGTGATGGCATAATTACTCACAGTCACGGGTCTCTCAGGCAGCTGCATGCAAAAAGAGCACTTGAACTTGTCATCCAAAAGCCCCATCACATCATCAGCCTTCTCCTCCTCCTCCTCCTCCGTCTCCTCGTCCTCGGTCCCCGACCCCTTGCCGCTCACCAGCTTCTGCCTTTCTTCGCTTCTCCTTCTCCGTCATGGAGCCGTACGGCCTCGATTCGCGGCGGCATTCGCCGCGAACCAAGCCCCCGTCGGATCCGGCGGATCGGGCGCGGCGGGCGCGCATCGCTGGAATCTGAGAAGCGGCGAGCCAATCGGGACAGAGCAGTCGGGGACGGCGGCAGGGTTCGGGGTGAGGGGAAGAGAGGCAGCAACAATACCATGTGCCACGGTGGCGCTACGTGCGCGACGTGAGGCATTCGGTGGGTTGGGGGTATTTTGCAGGACATGCAGACGCCCGTCGCCGTCGATGGGAGATCCATCGGGGAGGAGAGAGAATGAGGGTGAGAGATCAGATCAGAGAGAGAAACGGGAGAGAGCAGTGATAGGGGGTGATTTGGGGGATTTTTTATGGAGAGAGACAAGGGGGAGGTTTTAGAGGAGAGGGGGAGGAAAAAAGAGGCGGAATATTGGAAAAGACAGACCTGGTTGAAATTTTTACCCCGCACCTCTCGGTAGCTGGCGCTCGTCGTTTTTTTCCGGAGGAGGGGGCACTTTGTAATAATAAAAGATCTCGGTAGGAGGGGAAACACACCACTTGGCTCCGGAATTCGTGGATGCGGGGCCCACCGGAGGGGTCAATTGTCGCCTGCCGCCAGCAAAAAAGCGAAAAGCCGCCTCAAAAAAGAAAGGGCTTTCTCTATGTTAGCCCCTCACATCTTCAGTATGTCTATGTTATGCCATCAAATTGTTGAAATTGCTATTAGGTACCTCAAATTATCGTAATTCTTTGGGCCCCAACTCCGACTCTAAAAATTCCTTCACTAGAGAGAGTTTATGAGCCTCTGAAGACTTTTTGGCAGCTTTTTCGCTGCGATTACGCACGGCTGTAGGCTTGTGCTGGAACTTTGGATTTTGCTTCTGAAGCGCCACGAGGTTGTAGGCTCGCATTGACACGAGTATTCTCTTCCGAATCGGAGGTTGCGGGCTCGTGTATAAGGTGAAAGCTTAAGGTTGTGGGCGCCTGTGGGCGGTGCAAGCTTGTAAGTTTTCACCGCCACGATATTGAAGTAGGCTCAGTGGCCCAAGGGTGAAAGCTCGTCCAACGTTAACCTTGTGCAACTTTCTTTCCTTAGAATGAATTGTGTTCAAGTTGAGGCGAGATTATAAGCTCACGGCACACATAACTCTACGCGTAGATGCCAAGTTCTGGCTCTTGTCAACTTTAGAGAAGCTATCTTGGTAACCTCACACCGGCGTGATGTTAGGTCTTCTACGCACGCTTGAACCTGCTATGTCTATCCACTAGTAGGAAACTGAGTATTGGCGACGGGGGATTGGCGACGGATTTAAAATCCGTCGCCAATACAAACATTGGCGACAGAACATTGGCGACGGGGTTGTTCCCGTCGCCAATGTTTGTATTGGCGACGGATTTCAATCCGTCGCCAATGTTTTCCGTCGCCCATAACCTTTGGCGACGGGAAAACATTGGCGACGGATCCGATCCGTCGCCAATAAGTATTGGCGACGGATCCGATCCGAATTTTAAAACTAACATAGAATTCCTAATTAATAGTTAATATTTTAACATAAGAATCTGATAACATATGTATCTTTCCATCGCAAATGTTTGTATTGGCGATGGATTTCAAATTCAAATTCAGGAAGCATATATCACTTCTCCCTGAAAGAAGGGACATGCCTCCAGCGACAAAGTCGCGGCTATAGCCTCCTCGACGACGACGCTAGAGGGGAGCAGGGGGCCCTTGAGAAGGCCACCAAACAACTGTCCTGGATCATAATAGACTTCCACGTCATCAGCTCTCAAGCTATCATCTACCTGTGTGGAACAAAATAGTATTGGACTACATTTAAAATATTATAGATTTGAGGGACTAATATTAAAATAATTCTTAATTTTTTGTGGGGCCACTTATTAACAATGGGATAATCAATCACTAGTGTTAATTTTTTACGATGGCGACGGACATTGGCGACAGATTCGTCGCCAATAAGTATTGGCAACGTATTCAAATCCGTCGCCAATAAGTATTGGCGACGAAACATTGGCGACGACTCGAATCCGTCGCCAATACTTATTGGTGACGGATCGAATTCGTCGCCAATGTGTATTGGCGACGGATCGAATCTGTCGCCAATAAGTATTGGCGATGAAACATTGGTGACGGATCAGATCCGTCGCCAATACTTATTGGCGACAGATTCGATCCGTCGCCAATACACATTGGCGACGAATTCGATCCGTCACCAATAAGTATTGGCGACGGATTCGAGTCGTCGCCAATGTTTCGTCGCCAATACTTATTGGCGACGGATTTGAATACGTTGCCAATACTTATTGGCGACGAATCTGTCGCCAATGTCCGTCGCCATCGTAAAAAATTAACACTAGTGATTGATTATCCCATTGTTAATAAGTGGCCCCACAAAAAATTAAGAATTATTTTAATATTAGTCCCTCAAATCTATAATATTTTAAATGTAGTCCAATACTATTTTGTTCCACACAGGTAGATGATAGCTTGAGAGCTGATGACGTGGAAGTCTATTATGATCCAGGACAGTTGTTTGGTGGCCTTCTCAAGGCCCCCCTGCTCCCCTCTAGCGTCGTCGTCAAGGAGGCTGTAGCCGCAACTTTGTCGCTAGAGGCATGTCCATTCTTTTAGGGAGAAGTGATATATGCTTCCTGAATTTGAATTTGAAATCCATCGCCAATACAAATATTTGCGATGGAAAGATACATATGTTATCAGATTCTTATGTTAAAATATTAACTATTAATTAGGAATTCTATGTTAGTTTTAAAATTTATTTATTTTTATTCTTTATGCTAGTAGATTCGATGAACTCCACTACTCTGGGCTTCATCTACGGATGGACTTGAGCCTGTAAACATCATTAATGAATCTGAGAGGAGATAAATTAGATTTAATCACTAACAACCGGATGAAAATAGTTTGGATAGAGTTCTCTTGGAGTTTTTTATAAGGTTAAGAGGAGAAAGAGCCGTCAAAATTGAGTTCGAGCGAATATGATATAACAGGTCCTGTGTTCGAACTCTTGGATCGCCACTACTTTCTTTTTTTTTGTGAAATTTTTACATATATACCCAAGCGTTGTATATATTTGTAAATACCCCCCCCAAAGCATCATTTTACTAAGATTTAATGACCAAGAATATTTCTTTAAATAGTTAGATTTAAAAGAATATTTCTTTAAATATAACCGGTGTTAACCAGGGGACCTAATAGTAAATATTATGATGACTTGAGGGATGTAATAGAAATTTCCATAATTTGAATGAGTAATTTTAAAATATTGAAGATAGCCAATCGGACTAATTTTGAAACGGGTTAACTTATCATACAAGAACTTATCATATCAGAACTTATCAACTAGGTCCAAACGGGTTAACTTTTTATAATTAAAAGTCAAGGAAAACTAGTAATAATAGTTAGATTTAAAAGAATATTTCTTTAAATATAACCGGTGTTAACCAGGGGACCTAATAGTAAATATTGTGATGATTTAAGGGATGCAATAGAAATTTCCATGATTTGAGTGAGTAATTTTGAAATATTGAAGATAGCCAACCGGACTAATTTTGAAACTGGTTAACTTATCATACCAGAACTTATCAACTAGGTCCAAACGGGTTAACTTTTTATAATTAAAAGTCAAGGAAAACTAGTAATAATAGTTAGATTTAAAAGAATATTTCTTTAAATATAACCGGTGTTAACCAGGGGACCTAATAGTAAATATTGTGATGATTTGAGGGATGCAATAGAAATTTTCATGATTTGAGTGAGTAATTTTGAAATATTGAAGATAGCCAATCGGACTAATTTTGAAATATTTTAACTTATCATACCAGAACTTATCAACTAGGTCCAAACGGGTTAACTTTTTATAATTAAAAGTCAAGGAAAACTAGTAATAATAGTTAGATTTAAAAGAATATTTCTTTAAATATAACCGGTGTTAACCAGGGGACCTAATAGTAAATATTGTGATGATTTAAGGGATGCAATAGAAATTTCCATGATTTGAGTGAGTAATTTTGAAATATTGAAGATAGCCAATCGGACTAATTTTGAAACGGGTTAACTTATCATACCAGAACTTATCAACTAGGTCCAAACGGGTTAACTTTTTATAATTAAAAGTCAAGGAAAACTAGTAATAATAGTTAGATTTAAAAGAATATTTCTTTAAATATAACCGGTGTTAACCAGGGGACCTAATAGTAAATATTGTGATGATTTGAGGGATGTAATAGAAATTTCCATGATTTGAATGAGTAATTTTAAAATATTGAAGATAGCCAACAGGACTAATTTTGAAACGGGTTAACTTATCATACCAGAACTTATCAACTAGGTCCAAACGGGTTAACTTTTTATAATTAAAAGTCAAGGAAAACTAGTAATAATAGTTAGATTTAAAAGAATATTTCTTTAAATATAACCGGTGTTAACCAGGGGACCTAATAGTAAATATTGTGATGATTTGAGGGATGTAATAGAAATTTCCATGATTTGAGTGAGTAATTTTGAAATATTGAAGATAGCCAATCGGACTAATTTTGAAACGGGTTAACTTATCATACCAGAACTTATCAACTAGGTCCAAACGGGTTAACTTTTTATAATTAAAAGTCAAGGAAAACTAGTAATAATAGTTAGATTTAAAAGAATATTTCTTTAAATATAACCGGTGTTAACCAGGGGACCTAATAGTAAATATTGTGATGATTTGAGGGATGTAATAGAAATTTCCATGATTTGAGTGAGTAATTTTGAAATATTGAAGATAGCCAATCGGACTAATTTTGAAACGGGTTAACTTATCATACCAGAACTTATCAACTAGGTCCAAACGGGTTAACTTTTTATAATTAAAAGTCAAGGAAAACTAGTAATAATAGTTAGATTTAAAAGAATATTTCTTTAAATATAACCGGTGTTAACCAGGGGACCTAATAGTAAATATTGTGATCCGCACTCCGCCGTCGAGTCCACCTGAGCCGTCGCTGTCTTGAGCCGCCGAGCTCCGATTGAAGGTATAAAATTTGCTTGCTCTCACCAATTGAAGGTATAAAATTTGCTTGCTTTATTCAGTTTGAACTTTCTGTGCATGTAATTACCTTAATTGATAAATTTATATGCTCATTTCTTATTTTATAATTTGTTAGATATCGCGGGGACATCTCAAATGTGTACACCGCAACATCAAGACGCATTACCAGGTATAGGTATTATACATTTGTAATATATTTTAATGTAATGTAATGATATTTTATATTCCTAATAAATATTTGCAGACAATGCTTGCGATGGATCTGGTGATGATGAGATCGAGCACGAGAGGATGTCTGTATCTTCTCAGTCAGAGATGGCATGTCTCCGCCCATGGACTCCGTCAGTATCTCGCATCCCTCTACCAGAAAAAGCTATTGAATTACAAAAAAAATGTGATATGAACTACAAATTGAAGAGAGATGATATTAAAAGAAAGGAGCGTGCCATAAAACAGAGACTAGATAAAGCTATGTCAGATCTAATGAGGGGAAAAGGTAATAATTTCGTTTAAACTTTGGATAATTCATACTTATTTGCTTACTTAAGTGTATAAGAAATTTATTTCTCTTTGACTTTGTAGGCCAAAAAGATTATGAGAAACCCGGTAGGCATGGGAGTGAGGAAAAGACGAAAGTACCTCCGAAAGGGTAACGGGGCATTTTGGAGTGGAAGGACAACATTCCTGTTGGGGATTAGGCTGTCAGATTTAATAACTTGATTGGCTGTTTAATAAGAGATCCACGCTCCATTAATATTGCTCATAATTTTGAGGAGCAAGAATTTAAATGCATAAAAAAGATTTGGGAGAAGCTCATGGTAATTATTTAATATACTGCTGCTTATTTTGTTTACAATTCACAATGATTATTCTTATAGTGTAATTTTTTTGCCATGTAACTTGCAGGATCATTATTGTCTTGAAGACAACCCAGAGTCTTAGGATTATGTTATCCCGAAAATGGCCAAGCTTATTCGGGGTTGGAAGAGTGATCTAAAGAAAAGATATTTCACAAATTTATCTACTGATTGGAAGAGGATCTATGAGCTTGATAAGAGAGTTCCTCCATTTAATTGGATGACTCTCATTATCGAGTGGGAGGGTGAGAAGAAGGTAGATTATTTTTAATTTATGACATTATCATCACGTTATTTTTCATTTATATATTATCATCGCACATACTAAAAAAATACTTTATTTTGTAGAAAATATGTGAAACGGCATCGGCGAATCGTAGATCAAAGCTATATGATCACTTTTTAGGAGCTACTTCTTATGCTCAGATCGAGCATAAGTACTTGAACGAAAACCCGGTATGATCATATTATTAAAACTGATTTCATGTGATTAGTTTCCTACATTTAATTTGGAATTTAATATATCACACGACGCTTTGACTATGCCCCCGACTCTTCTGGCTAAAAGAGCTTATACACCACCCCAGGGCTATGAAAATGTAGATGGAAATGACAAAAAGGTGGAAAAATTTAATGAATTGAACGTAAGTATAAGATTAATTTTAGATTTGTATATACTTAATGATTTTTCATCAAAGTTTCTAATTTTTATGATATATGATATGCAGGCGGCGCTGGAAGCTTCTCAAAACGATGTCTTCACCCGTGTCACGCAGTCTCGAAGTACAGAGGACACTCCTGTAGAGCCTAACCGCATGACCAGAGACGAGTGGATGGAAGTTGTCGACGGAGCTTACGGTTTACACTCAAGAAAGAAAGGAAGAGTGCCTCTGTCAAGTACTAGAGTTAAGACACTCACCACCACCAATAAGCCTAGCAGCCAATCTGTGACATCGACGCGACACGGTGACACGTCATATGTCGTGGGTAAGATTGGAAAATACTTGATGAAGAATGTTGAAATTCCATTGGCTTTAAGTTTTCTTCCCACTATTAAGCACGAGTTAAGTGGTGTACAAACGACTTGGGATGTCGTTCAGCGACTCATCGATTCTCAACCCGTAAAGGACTTGCTTCCGCAGTCTATATACGCGGATATTATGGTGTTGGCATTTGATGAGCATGCAGCTGCAAGTGGTGGAGAGGTATATATGTCATATTATATATATGTATTTATTATGAGTATTTTGGAATATATTCTCATATTGATTTACATTCTTTTCAGGCTAGAGGAGGTACTGTAGGAAGCAGCAGT